AATGAGTTCGTTAAACTTATTTTTATTCGGTTGCTTTGGACCACAAGAAAGGAACTTTTCAAAAAAATTGTAATATAAATTCATCTAATGTTTTTATTCAAGCTTCGGCTTTTCGTAGCGGTTTAACTTGGCGGTTTAGCATTTTTAAAAATTGGACGCTCATTTAATTTTTGTTTGTTACAGTGATTGAGCTGAATTGTTGACGAAAATTCAAAATCACCTAGTTTGGCAATTTTTAATAATTTTGCTGATAAAAAAATGTCTGTTTTCATCGACATTTTTAGTTATCTGAATCATATTCACAGCAAAACTTATTAAATAGTTTCATATAACGTAATGCCTGAGACGATGAATAGATTGGCATCCAAACAGAGTGATTGCTGTACTGTTTGTACCAAACCAAATGGAGAAAACTGGATTCTGTGTGAGAGCTGCCAAAGATGGACTCACGGTGGGCGTGCTGGATACTCGAACGACGAGTACAAATTCTTGGCGAGGGCCAAAAATGTGATGTTTTTTGTGTGACACATGCCTTCCATCAGCACAATGCAACTTACTGAAAAACAACATCTCCGCAGAGGTCACCAAGGAAATTGCAGACTTGAAGGCCACAGTGGAGAGTGTTAAGTTTGCTGTGACGGCACTGACACCAACTGCCATAGAACCCGAAGCTAAGTATTCTTCAATTGTGAAAAATAATGCTGAATATTCACTAGAGTTAAGGTTCAGCGGTTTGCCTGAAACAAGCGATGCCCCTAAAAAACCAAACCGAAAAGAAGTTTTTGAACACGATGAAAAACAGTTATTTGATGTTGTACATTATCTGGGTGTGGGAAAAGAAGATATATCCGGTTTCGGTAGGCTTGGCAAATACAATTCACAAAATCCTCGAGCAAGGCAAATTCTTGTTAAGTTCTCAAATACTTATACGGTTGATAAAATATTAGCACGTGCACCAATGCTTAAAGTTTTCGAACCAACATACAACGATGAGGCCTATCGAGTTTTTGTTTCAAAATCTTTAAACAAAGAAGAGCAAATGAAAGAGCGAACATTTCTGAAAAAAAAAGAAGAGAGTTATTAGATACAAACCAACATGATCCAAAGAACATTCATATCAAAAATGGAATTTTGTATTTAAATAACCAAGCAGTAGTAATTGATGAGTGACCAGAAAATTCAACTGGTGAACTAAGCATGTTGTGTTATAACATTAGATGTTTATATAAATCGGATCGAAGGAGAATTTTTTCGAATTTTCTGCTAGTAAATGCTGTTGATATTGTATGTATATCAGAAACATGGCTCACAGACGATATTGCAGAAGGCGAACTTTTTATACCTCAATATCAATGTTTTTTATCGAATAGAAAAGCAAAATCCGGAAAAACAGCACACGTTGGGACTATGATTTGCGTGAAAAATGAAATCAACTCTGAGAAAGTTAAATTGAATCTTGAAGATAATGGTTCAGTAACTGCATGCCTGATTTGTTTATGTAAAAAGAAAATACTTATTGTTTGCTGTTATTTACCACCCTCAAACAGTACTTACGCTTACACGAACGCTGATATTGAAAACTTGTTTAAATGTTTGCAAAAAATCAAAAATAATTTTGATGAATTAATAATATACGGGGATTTCAATTTCCCAACAATAAACTGGACGAGTCTTTCATCTGCTGTTGAGCAAGAAAATATTTTTCTTGATATAATTGATCGATATTGTTTGCAACAAAAAATCTCGTTCCAAACTGCTGCAACTGGTATTCTAGATTTGATTTTAGTGGGAAAAAAACATACAGATAGTGAATATTGAAGACATTCAAAGGGATAACTATTTTAGCAAACTCTCGAATCATTTCCCGATCAAAGTTAAGTTTAACGTTGAAATATCGTCCTTGTTGCAGCGAAATTGCTGCAAAGATTTGATTTATAGCTACTGTAAAGGCGATTTTGGAAAACTACGAGAAACGTTGAATAAAACAAAATTCGAACCTTTCTGTTGTTCGAATCCTAATAAAGTTCTGGAATTATGGTATAGCTGGCTCAATACCGCAATATCTCAGAATGTACCCAGGAGAACAGCGCACAGAATGTCGGTACCACCGTGGATTACGCAAAAAACATCGCATTACATAAAGTGCCTTAAAACTGCGCGGAAGAATTTTCCAGAATTTCATGACAAGGTCATAGCATTAGCTGATTTAGTCGATACCAGTGCAGAAACTGACAAAGTTGAATACGAACAAGAGCTAGCTGCAGAACGAGCATCGTCAAAATTTTCCAAGTATTTCAAAGCATTTAGGAAGTCAAATCTCCCGCGGAAAATGTTTTACGAGTCTGTCTCGGAGGAGACGGACAAGGGTAAATCAGAACTATTTTCTATCTTCTTCTCTTCCGTGTATACAAAATCGACAAAATTTATTGAAGGGTGTAATTGAAAAGAATGCGTAAAATTGATTACCACTGTAAATTTTTTTCGAAAAGGAAGTAATTGAAATTTGCATGAACTTGGACATAAACAAGAGTAAAGGATCCGATGAAATTCCACCAATATTGTAAAAAAAATTGTGCATTACTCTTTCTCATTCTCTTTCACAGTTATTCAGAAAAAATTTCCAAACAGCCATTTTTTCAAACAATTGGAAACAAGCAATTATAAGTCCCTTATTTAAAAAAGGCGATAAATGCCATGTTACAAATTACAGACCGGTATCTCTGTTATCAATAGCTTCGAAAATTCTAGAAAGGATTATTTTTAGACGACTGTACGATCATTACCATTCTTTTTTTCACGCAGCTCAGTTCGGCTTCAGGAAAAAACGATCAACGATTCTTCAATTGATAATCTTTTTGCAAAAAGTGTACCAGGGCATTGAAAGTCAACATGATGTTGATATAATCTTTACTGACTACAGTAAAGCTTTTGACAGAGTGGATCATGGTATGCTTTTGAAACGGGCATCAGAAACAGGCTACTGAAACTAATCGAATCATACTTGACAAATCGAGTACAAGTCGTGCGTATAAATGGAGTAAACTCGTCACCAATACAAGTTACTAGCGGTGTCCCGCAAGGGAGTATTTTGGGCCCCATACTTTTTCTGGTTTTTGTTAACGACCTCCCGAAAATGTGCGATCAATTGTTTCCCCTACTTTTTGCCGATGACGCCAAATTTCTCAGCGTGGGTTTAAGCACAATAGATATTCAAAGTGATTTAAATGCGTTGTATGACTGGACCGTTAGAAACAACATGCCCTTCAATATGGATAAATGCTGCCTAATTAAAATGTCCAAAAATGAAAAACGATTGCTTTTTGGAAACGAATCGATTAAAACAGAGGAAACTCAATCTGATTGGGGGCTCATGCTTTCCTGTGACTTAAAATGGAATTTGCATATAAATAAGGTTTGCTGCAAAGCATTTCGTGTTTTTCACATGATAAAAAGAAGCGTATCGAATCTTGGACAAAAAGCTAAACTGGATTTGTATAAATCTATGATCGTGCCAATACTCACGTACGCAAGTCCATGTTATGGATTGAGTAAATACATTATTACGGAGCTTGAAAATGTGCAAAGGCGTATAGTTAAATGGATAATTCCGCATATGGATTCGTACAAAGATCGGCTAATCGAAATTTCACTATTGCCACTGCCAATGTATATACAGATCAACAACCTTCTGTTGCTGTCAAAAATTTTATCGAAAAATTACGATGTTGACATGTTGAATGTTCCATCGTATTCCTGTTCCTCGCGCGGTTGTATAGTAGTAGTAGTAGTAGTAGTAGAGGCTTTAGGGCTCATTGGCCCAGGGGTGTTACTAGGGGTTACACGATCCACAGGAACACAGTACACGCCAGGTGCATGTGTCTAGCTCATTGTAACTGTTTTCAAAGTAGTTGAAGTAACTTTCTGTCAGTTGTTTTTTCGTCGGGTTGTCGCGAAACTGTTTGAGGACTATATTGAAAAGTTTCGGGGCTCTCGTCCAGAAATTTTCGTCTGTTTTGCTGATGCGGTTTTTGTTGAGCTCGAATTCGCTGCATTGTCTCGTGGTGCTTTCTCTCAGTGATATTGGAATTGAATCTTCACTGACGCTGTATTTACCGTCCATGACCGATTGAAGAAACAGTATATCATGGAGTTCGATGTACATTGAGAGTGGTAAGATCTTCAGGGTACGTAGTCTCTCTTTGTATCCGATGGAGTAGTTAAGTATCCATGTAGTAGCTTTTTGTTGAACTATTTCGATTTCCCGCATTTCGGTTTTTGATGGGTACCATACCTGCGATGCATAGGAAATGACAGGAACGACGTAACCTACATAGGCGTTCAATTTTGTTTCGAGATTTGCATAGCATGAGATGTTACGTTTGAGGTTGAAGAAGGCTCGCCATGCTTTACCGGTCCTACGTTTAATGTTTTCGTTCCACGAGATGTTTTTTGTCATTATCACTCCTAGGTCTTTCTGGGAGTTGACAGTGCCTAGTTTCACGCCTTTTGAACTCACAGGCTCTGTATTTCCTTTAATGCGTAGTGCCTTACTTTTTCCCATATTTAGTACCATTTGGTTTTTGAGACTCCACTTTTCAATTTCATTTCCGAGGACAATTGCTTCTTCGTAGTTCTTTGCAATTACTTTAAAGTCGTCGCTGTAGCCAAAAAAAGTGCTCGGTTTGACTGATTCTGGAAGATCGTTAACGTATATCAGGAACATGAGCGGACCTAGTTTTGAACCCTGTGGTACTCCACTTGTTACTGGCGTGACTGGAGATTTGCTTATATCAATTTAACACATTGTTTTCGTGCTGTTAGGTAGCTGGCTAGTAGTTCAAGGATTCAAGGATAAGTTTCAGCTCGAGAGGCCGAAAAAGAAATTTTTGGAGGACGAATTCCTTTACCAAACATGTCGGCTAGCGAATGTGATCAAAATTGACGTGAGAGAAACAAGCAGACTGAAGAAGCGAATATTGTGGTTATTTTGGAGAAAATTTGAGAAGGACTACGAACAAGTGCACATGGAGAATTGCTTGCGATTGCACAATGAATGACTGTAGAAGTAAAACTTCACTATAGAACGAAAAACCGACAGGGGGAAACCCCTTGTGCTACGAGCACAAAAGCCCTACTACTACTACATATTCGCTTTCGAGTTCTTAACTTCGCTTCTGATAGTCTGTTCTGAAAACTAAGAGCAGCTGGCTCCAAAAAAAACATGAGTGTTTGGAACATAGTACTTGAGAAAATTGGGAATTTTGTCAATATTCAAGCTTTCATCGAAAAAAACGAACAAGTGCCCTTCGCACGTTTTTCT